GGGGAGATTCAGTGGCTCAGCACAGCCTGGATGGCATTGATGACATAGTTTGCAGATACCACATGGTGTTGTTGTAAATATGTGTCCTGCGTCTGCAGCTCTGGATGCTGGGTCATCCTCACAGATTAGGTGATGAACTTTGACCTCTATCCTTACTGGATAAGTTGCTTTAACTGCTACTGAACTGGAACAAGTGGCAGATTCCAGCTTTGTCTGTGGTTGGCAATAGCTGCTCCTTTCCATGATTAGGGCTAGGATCCTACTGGGGCAGTGGGCTCAGCTTGGCTCTGCCGAGCCCCCAGCTGCAGCCCTCTGTAACTTGCTCAGAAGCCTCAGGTATTTTTGTAAAAATTCCATGTGGAATCTCCCCACCCCCTTTTATTCTTTAAAAACCAAGTTCTAAAGATAAGAAGGTGGGGTTTAAATAGCAGTTGCAGAGGGTCCATGTTCAATTCTCAGCACCCACATGGTAGCTCAGAACCATCTGTACCTGCAGTGCCAGGGTCACTGAATTCTCATGATGTACATGCATGCATGCAGGCAAAGTTGTCTTACACTTGAAATAAAAACAGGCAAGTCTTTTTTGTTTTGTTTTCTTTTTCTTTTCTTTTTTCTTTTTTCTTTTTTGGTTTTTTGAGACAGGGTTTCTCTGTGTAGCTTTGGAGCCTATCCTGGCACTCGCTCTGGAGACCAGGCTGGCTGTCCTGGACCTAGCTCTGTAGACCAGGCTGGCCTCAAACTCACAGAGATCCGACTGCCTCCTGACCACTGGGATTAAAGGTGTGCACCACCACAAACTGGCTGCAAGTCTTTTTTTTTTTTTTTTTTTTTTTTTTAAACCGCTGAGCCATCTCTCCAAACCCAACAAACAAGTCTTAATGAATAAAAATAAAATAAAAGTGCACTGGCACCCAAGGAGATCCCCAAACACCCACATCTGTTTACATCCTTAGGCATAGGCTACTAGAGAACTAAAAAAAAAAAACAAAAAACTATTTTTGTTTAGTTTTAAGAGTATTTTTAAAATTATATGTATGTGTGTTTGTGTGTAGATAGCTACAGGTGAATGCATTCACCCATGGAAGTCAGAGCTGTTGGTCTCCTGTGCTGCTGGAGTTGCAGGAGGTTGTGGGTTCTGGGGACCAAATATGCCCTTTGCAAGAGCAGGGTGTCCTCTTAACCACTGAGCCTCTCTCCAGCTTCCATTTTTACTAATTCATTCAGGATTCCATACACGTATCCAGTGTATCTTAATCATATCTACCCTCACTCCCCTCTCCAGCTTCCCCCAAGCCCCACCTCCATGTTCCCCTCCTGACTTCATGTTTCTGCTTTTAATAACCCACTAAGTTCAACAGTGCTATCCATCCATCTATAGACGAGTACCCATCTACTAGAGCATGGCCAACGTCCCAGGGACCACACCCCTAAAGAAAACTGACTCTCTCCTAGCAGCCACTGGCTGTCAGGAGCTCCTCAGCTAAGAGTAAAGGGGCTCACGCTCCTCATGCATTTGTGCTAGAAGGTTGGCTGGCTTGAGCCTGTGCATGTCTTGTGCAGGCAACCACAGCTACTGTGAGATTGCAATAGTCATGTCCACAACCTGGCAAGGTTATTTGATCAATAACCTCGACAGGGATCATACATGTCTTACCCAATGGTAAAATTCCTAAGAATGTCTGAGCTGGCTTTCACACTGTGTGGATTAACTTCCCACTCTTTCCTTTAGGTTCAGTTAGCACATCTTCACAGTGTTTCTAAATCTGTAAAACATTGAGGCTAGTATCATATCGTGGATACCATGGAAGCATCTTGCAGAGGGCAGACAGTACAGCAGGGTCCTGGGGTACCATCATGTGACTGAACACTGGGTTTGCATTCTGATGACTGTAATGTTTGGCTTTAAAGCCAAACATGATTTTTTTTTCCCCCATAGCAGGGCAAGAGGGGTCTGTTCCTAAAGCAATGCCCTCCTTGGATGAAGGAAGCATGGGACTTTTACGTAAGACTATAGCTATTCACAGAGGATGTGGCCCCCTCCTAAGTATACTCAGGTCAAGTATGCTCTTTGGAACACGAAGTTTAAGCTGCTGAGACACACACATGTTTAAGATCAAAGTGATGGTCAGGAATGCCTCTGGGCATGCTCAGCTTGCACTATAAAGTTTTAACGGAACATAAACATTTTGAAGGTATGTTAATCCAGGATTATGCCCCTGAAGGTGCCGCCTTGTTTACTGGCTAACAATCCCATGACAGTGGGGCTCTAGAGGGAACCTATGATGATTTCTTTCCTGTTGAGTGAGAGTTGGTCTGGGGATCCAGCAGCCAGGGGAACTGTGAAACAAGTATTGGCAAGGCAGAGATATCATCACTTAAACTGTTTTCAAAAGACCAATCCTGGGTACCGAAGCGTGGACGGGGGTGGCATTTCTCTATTTAGCGCTCTATAATTGAACCATTATCCATGAGCTGTTTGGCTCTTCTTGTTGTAACATAATCTATTGTCGACTCATTCATTCTGTGTACGCTATGGCATGATGTAGGGGTCAGGACACAATTGAGAGTTGGTTCTCTCCTTCCACCATGTGGGCCTCGGAGATCAAACTTCAGGTCCTCAGGCGGGGCAACAAGAGCCTGCACCTGTTGAACCACCTCAATGGACTCATAGCGGCTGCTGTTCAAGGTCTATGTAGTCCTGGCTGTCTTGGAGCTCACTATGTAGACCAGGATGGTCTTGAACTCATAGAGGTCCATCTTCCTCTGTCTCCCAAGGGCTTGAATTAAAGGTGTGTGGCACCATAACTAGCCGCCGTCTGGCTTCTTTACTGGCCACACTGGGTTGTTGAAAGTGTTTGGGGCTGGGTGGATACTCTACCCTTTAAAAATTCTTCATGGTTTCTGTAATTTTGTTACACATATCCTGGGCGGTCTATACTGTTTGGTATTTATTGCCCCATGGCAGGGAGGTTAAACAATTTTACAGCTCTCATGTCACCCAACAGGGCATGTCTGCCTTAAATTCTCACCAAGTAGAAACTTTCCAAAGTGGTATGCAGTGTCCCTAGCGGCACAGCTACCATCGGGGGAGAAGTGTACAGTGCCTGTAGGCAGGTAACTAGCCCATAGCACAAACTTAGCACCTACCCGTACCATTGTCTCTCTTAATCTACTCACTGCTGCTCAGTTCTTGGCACCTTTGAGGGTGGCCAAGGCACACTTAGCTCCAGTACCTACCACAGCCCATGTTTTACACATTAGTAAGGGGCAGGTAAATATACAATCCATGAGCCTCTAGTTCTTTCGTATGCACTTCTGAGGCAGGGTGAGGTGGTTCCACTCAAAAGCTTTCTCCAAAGCAGGGGGTACATTGGGAAATACCTGACGTTATCTTCCAGTGACTCAGGTCCCCAGGCCTGGCAGCAGGCACACCCCCCCCCCAATATGGTTTCTCTGGGTAGCCTTCGCTATCCTAGAACTTGCTCTGTAGACTAGGCTGGCCTCAAACTCAAGAGATCTGCCTGCCACTGCCTCTGCTGGGATTAGGTGTGGACCATCACTGCCAGGCTTCAATTTAAAAAAAAAAAAAAAAATTTTCCTGTGCATTGGTGTTTTGCCTGCATGTGTGTCTGTGTGAGTGGGTCAGATCCCCTGGAACTGGAGTTGTAAGCTGCCATGTGGGTGGTGGGTGGTGGGTGGTGGGAGCTGAACCCAGGTCTTCTGGAAGAACTGCCACTGCTTTGTTTTAATTAATTCTTTTACATTCCAATTCCAGTTCCCCTTCCTTCCAGTTCTCCTCCCTGCAGAAAGTGCTCTTAATCTCTGAGCCATCTCTGCAGTCCCCACACCTTTAACCCATGGAGCCACATGTCTTTCCCCATTCCAGCTGCTCAGAGGCAGAATGTCTTGATTCTCCTTTTCCTGTACTGACCCATCACTAAGGCACCTGCATGTTGAGCCATGGACCCTCCCTTCCTCTGTATTACCAACTGTTTCCATGGGTTCCCAAGTTTTTGGATCCCAGTCAACAGACTCAATTTGCACTTCCTCTATCAGCTGTGTAAGACAAGCAAGCCCTTCACCTCTCCTTCCCTTCCTCCCACGTAGCTCACAGAGCAAACAGCAGGTCACATCCACTCTTCCCACTCTAACTCCTCTATGAAGAAAGGAACTCTGGGCCCACTGCAGCCTCAGGTGCACGCCTGATTATTACCTACAGCACAGGCCATGCAACCGTCACTACTATGTAGTCTTGAGCCACAAGCGCTTTCAGGGACTGTAACATACTTCTTGTCCACTAACTGCTTGGAGGGGTGTGTGTGTGTGTGGGTGGACACCTCTTACCTGGCAGACCCTATTACCGAGGGAACATGCCACCCGTGGAAAACTGCCACCCAATGGTTTCTCTGGCACTGGGCTCAGTTGTGCACCTTATCACCTGTAGCTAGGGACCATTAACTGCTCCTCCTAGACTCACCTTTGTTTTTTTGTTGCATGGAGTATTACAGGGCTTATTCCTAGGGAGATACAGACCCATCTATTCACTATAGACAAGGAAGATACTAAGAGACTAAAGAAAGGATTCCATTCAAGTCCAGTCTGGCAAACCAGTTAAGTTTTATTGGGGTACTGACAGGAAGGAGCATGGGCAGGTCCAAAGGCAGCTGCATCACTGTCAAGTCCCCTGCACCACTTAAAAGCAGTTACACCACCAGCACTGTTGCCATCTGTGCCCATCAGCAGCCAAAGTGCTTATGTAATCCTGTGAAATATGCCCCACCCCCGGGGAAAAAAAACCCAAAACAAAGACCCCAAACCAGGCCCATTCTGGTGAAAGCCTTGCACAGCTGATCACAGCTGCTCTGGTTCAAGACAGCAATGGTCATACCCAACCTGACAGAAACAGTCACACACATTCTTACTGCTGGCTCTAAAGGGTTAAATAGGTGTGATCAGAATAGTCTTGAGTGACAGTGGTGACACATCAATCCACAGGCAACTAACTCATAAAATGTTTTATTTCACTTTTGAGTTTTTACATTTTCCTGATTACTCCGTGTAAGGTAAAACTAGAATGTTTAAAAGACATACACGAATCTAGTACATCAGTAACCGGGGTTTTCTTTTTCTTTTTGCTATACTATTTTCACAACCACAGGTGTGCTTGCTAGGCAAATATAACCACCACAGAAGCAAACATTAGGCAGAATACTGGTAAGGAAAAAAAACAAAGCAAAGAGCTACCAGATATACAGACAGGCTCGGTTCCACACTCACTACTGCGTTGTCAAGCGCCAAGTATTAACTGCACATTTTTCTTCAGCTAGAAAGGGATTTTTTTTTTTTGGTGCTTTTTTTTTTTATTTGTTTTTTTGTTGTTTTTGAATTTTTTTTTTTTTTTTTTTTGGTTTTAAATCAGTGCATGAGTTCTTTTCTCATTTCAGCAGATGGACACACAAATGGACTCTATAGCTACATGGAATGTCAAGGTAGAGGGGTGATACTGTGAGACTCATAGGCCTGGCTGTTCTTGGTTCTCTCTATTGTAGTGTCCATGCAACTTCCCTGGGTTACAGGGTCTTGTTTAGACATGTCTGGGAACTAAGCTGGATGAGTACACTGGGAAGACCTGGTCACAGGCGCTAACAAGCATTATCAGGGCTGGCTGCAACAGGGAGAGGCCATGGATACTGTGCTGAGAGCAGAGGCGGACAGGGTGACGTTGCTAGCAGGCCTACATTCTCAACACTGAATGTGAAGCAAGACTTTGCCCACCAATGTGCTCAATGCCACGTCCCTGTCCACACATTAGCAACAAAGAAAGGCTTCCAAAAGGAAACACCCAAGAAAGCAGAAAGCTGTAAATTTAAAGAGGAGAAAAGCAAAGTCAACATTAAGGACAGGATGGAAAGAATGTTGCATCTCAACGTTCCCACCCTCCAAGCTAGGAAGAACCAAAGACTATGAGCGCCCCTCAGGCGTGAGACCATCTCCTCAGAACATAATCCTTAAAGGAATTACCCAGCAAGCTGGTATGGCCATTCCTAAGACACACCACACTCACTCCCTCCTTTAGCTAGGGGGTAACAGAAACAGATCTCTGTTTTCACAAGTAGCTAATCAGGAGCACACTGCTGTGGTAAAGGGTTAACAGAAACAGATCTGTTTTCACAAGTTGCTAATCAGGAGCACACTGCTGTAGTAAAGGGTTTAGTCACACATGTGGTATGAGCGGGACCTTTTTTGTGGTGTCACAGCCCAATTATCAGCCAAAGAATTTCACTTCCTGGTTTTGAGTTTCCTCAGGAGAAGACACTGCAGATATCTGTGGTCATGAACTTGAGTGGCAACAGCCCATACTGATCAATAAGACCTCAACCACAGGCAAAGTTACCATGAGTTACCAAACTCAGGGTGCCAATGGCGAGCATCTCACCCTAAGTCCTGACATCACAACGGACTCTCTACAACTTTCTGTACAACTTTACAACAGAATTGTACTTTCAGTGACTATTTTGATATCAGATTAAACTTTCTAAAAAGTTATACATAATTCAGGTCTATTTTTTCTATCAGTAAGAGCTTTGCTAAGTTACAAAACCCCATAATCACAGTGTTCAGTTTGTAAAAATTAAACACACAGCAATCCTGTCAATGCTGATCAAAATCAAGACTTCAGAAATGCCGTGGCATTTAAGGGACCAGTCTGAGTTTCAGATACAAATACCAGCTGTTTATCCCAGGGACCATTTTTGCTAGACTTAGGCTGTGAAAAATCGAAAGTCAACATTCGATTTTTGTTTTTGTTTATCGCACAAAGGGATATAATGTGGAGGATACGGAGTGACAGCAAACAGATCACAAAGCACGACAGACATTAGTTCTCTCCCTCTCCAGCATCTCCTTCATCTCCCTGGTTTTCTGACGTCCACAACTGCAAGAGAAAAGGAAAAGGAAAGCTCTAATAAAAGATCATTACAAATTTTCAAGAGGTGACCCAATATATTTTACCTCAACTACTAATTTTTTTTTCATTTTATTTTACACGTGTGGATGTGCTGCCTGCATATCATTACACGCCTACTGCCCTAGGAGTCCAAAAGAGGGCACCACACCCCCTAGAAAGGGAGTACAGATGGTTGTGAGCTGCCATGCGAGTGCTGGGAACCTGGGGCTTTTGGAAGAACAGGCTGAGAATCACTGAGTCATTGTTTCCAGGTCCCTCACTCAACTTCCTTCTCACCACAGACAATGGTGACTGCTAAGGAACAATGCAGAACTGCACTTCACAGAGTCTGGGCTAACAGTAGCCTAGGCAGGTAAGCAGTCTCTAGAGGTACTTACAGTGAGATTATCCCTGAGTAGCTGCATGATCAGGGTGCTGTCTTTGTAAGACTCTTCATTGAGCGTATCCAGTTCAGCAATTGCTTCATCAAATGCCTAAAACAAAGAGCTATTAGCAAGGATCCGGATGTTCTCTGCATTAGCCCTGCTCTTCCTGCAGATAAGAGGATGGGAGCTGCCCGCTCTCCTCTCACATCTGCCAGCTGCTTCCAATCCATGACATGTATTAACCAACAACCCGCAATGACAACCCTCCACTAACACTGTTACTGTTAGCACATTTAGTATGTAAGCTCTTTTAACTAATTTACTTTTATTTGCATTGGTATTTTGCCTGCATATATGTTTGTGTGAGGGTGTCAGATCTTGGAGTTAGAGACAGTTGTTAGCTGCCATATGGGTATTGGGAATTGAACCTAGTTCCTCTGTAAGAGCAGTCAGTGCCCTTACTGAGCCACCCCTCCAACCCCCCATAAGTTTTTTTTTTTGTTTGTTTTGTTTTTTTTTTTTTTGAGACAGGGTTTCTCTGTATTGCTTTGGAGGTTGTCCTGAAACTCAATGTGTAGACCAGGAAGGCCTCGAACTCACGGAGATCCGCCTGCCTCTGCCTCCCCAGTGCTGGGATTAAAGGCTTGCACCACCAACACCCAGCTCTTTCATAAGTTTTTAATTGCCAAAGTGGTTTCTATTTTTGTTTAACTAAAAAGGTCTGTACAAAGGTCAAAGAGGAGAACAGCAAAGGTCACCTCACTAAGCTTGATTTGTCTCAGGGGTTCAAGTTGTAGAATTCAGTGCAGGCACCCTTTCCAAATTAAAGTTTCAAATAACAGTGTGCATAGGAGAGAAAGCTCCCCAAAGAAGACAGGAAGTAATGCAGCATGAACAAAATGGGATCTCATTTCTTTCATGATGTCCTTTCTTGGCACAAAGAAGACAATGCCCAATGCCCAAAGCTTGCTGAGAACCACCACTTTTACCATGACGGTTCTACCAATAACCCCAATAGTAATTAAACTAAGCAAAATGAAGGTCAACACACATACCCAGATAATAGCACAAAGTAATGGTCTTATTTATTTCCTAAAAATCCCAGCCGCTAGAAAATGTTTAAAAGTCCAAGATAGTGAGGACAGCTCATAAACAGAAAGAAGTTCTTGGAAACAGCAAAGGGTCTGTCTTTCCTCACCGTTTTGGCCAGGCTGCAGGCCTTTTCAGGAGAGTTTAGAATCTCATAGTAGAAGACTGAGAAATTCAGCGCCAGGCCAAGTCGAATTGGGTGTGTAGGCTGCATTTCTTTCTTACTAATTTCAAAGGCTTCTTGGTAAGCCTGCTGGGAGTTTGACACAGTGGCTAGAAAGAAGATAAAAATGTTAGCTTCTTGGACAGTCTGCATGACACATGGGACTCACTATCAAGTCACTTTAGCAAAGGCTAAAGCAAAGGCACTATCAAAACAAAGGCCAGTGTCTGCACCATTCACCTTAAACACTTGCCAATGTTTATACTAAGTACTGTATTAAATGCTTTGGGAGAAAACAGACAATTATGATGAAGTCTATTAACATAGTCAAATACAGAAACAGCCTTTCATAAGGAAATGCATCCTAGTGAGAAAATAATGGGGTTTAAGGTCAATATAGATAAGCTCAAATTCTCAACTTACCCAGTATGTGGCCTAGGGCAAGTAAAAAGTCCACACATGAACTCTGGCTTTTTTTACTGGAAAAACCAGAGACTCACACCCAAATTCAAAATGCTAAGAGGATAAATGCAAACCCACTTACTCAGCACACAGCAATGAATAAAAGCAGCTACAATCACATCACAGTAAGCCATGTGTTGAGAGAAATGCATCCCTATGGTGAACTCACACATTATCTCCCCTCATCTGTGGATGCCTGGAACTAGACAGTCTGAAACCTATTATACATGCTCAAGGTTACTCACACAGGACATTCACAGAACAGTTCTATCAATATACTGTAATGCACTTTGGAAATCAGTAAATTACCTGAACACAAGCAGTGCCATACTAGAATAGTCCATCAAGTAGCTAATATGGCAACTAGGTAAGTAATAGGTGGCTAGCACTTACAGGCTAACTTGGGGCAAAATATATGACTCATGCATCTTTGGAATTTTCCATTTAGATTTCAGACTAGTTATAGAAACTAAAACTGGGTAAAGCAAAAGTCAAGGTGAACTATTACATTTTATAGTTTTACCTATAAAAAGAGAATTATTAATTCTCAAGCAAGAGTTCACCAAATACATTAAATACTAAACTTCTAATACCCTTCATATTTGTCCATTAGATAGATTTGCTAATCCTATGACCCCATGCATGACAATTCTGTGGTCTCTGAAATTCTCATTATTGTGATCATAATATCTATAGTAAACAAAGTAAAAATGGATTTCATTATGAAATATTAAACCCTCCTACTATTTCTTCCTCTCTCTCTCTCTTTTGTTTTGTTTTGTTTTTTCGAGACAGGGTTTTTCTGTGGCTTTGGAGGCTGACCTGGAACTAGCTCTCGTAGACCAGGCCGGTCTCGAACTCACAGAGATCCACCTACCTCTGCCTCCCCAGTGCTGGGATTAAAGGTGTGTGCCACCACTGCCCAGCTCTCTCTCTCTTTTTTAAAGATTTTATATTATGCATACAACATTCTGCTTCCATATACATATCTGCACACCAAAAGAGGGCACCAGATCTCATAACAGATGGTTGTGAGCCACCATGTGGTTGCTGGGAATTGAACTCAGGACCTCTAGAAGAGCAGCCACTGCTCTTAACCTCTGAGCCAGCTCTCCAGCCCCCCTCCTACTATTTCTTAAAAACATTACTTACTTTGTTTATTGTCTCCAGATGCAACCTCAGAAAGATACCTAAAATAGTCTCCTTTCATTTTCAAGTAGAACACCTTGCTTTCTGGCTGTGTAGCATTGGGAATGAGATATTTGTCCAACAGCTCCTAAAAAGTGATTCACATTAAGAATTTTGAATTGTTTCTGAGATGTTAAAATTACATTTGCGATTCAAGATATGCACTACTACTACTACTGATTTTTCTGAAGACTAAAAACAACAACAAAAAAACCCCCTAAACCAACAAACAGAAAAACCTAACCAACTTTCATCCAAGCTACTAAATACCGTTTAGCCAAGTCCTAAGAGCAGAAGCCTGTACCCTTCACTTACAAGTCCTCTGACCACCGTAAGGGCTGGCTATAATGCAGCTACTACAATGGGATGCGATATAAAAAGGATGGCACAGAACTGCATTGCTCACACAAATCTAGCTGGAAAAGACTATCAACAAAAGAATCTCACTTTAGTATTAAAATAAGCATGGGTACATGCACACAAAAATGTGGGGAAGCCTTGGAGGATTCTAGGAACAATGCTTCTCTGGATAATAGCATTAGAAGTGACTTTTAGTTCTTAACTCTTCTGTCCATCTTGTAGAAACAAACAAACTCCCCCCCCCCCCATTTAAACTTTTATTACTTCTGTAATTTTGAGTGTGTGTGTGTCTTTCTATTCTGGGAAGGGAAAAAAAAAGCAGCAATAGAACAAAACAGCAAGAACTCAGTTTAAAATTGATCTGACCTGGGAAGAAAACCTTCTTCTGATGCTTACTGTTTGTTTCCACATGACCTGGAGAGGAGGCTGAGGACCCCAAGCCTCAGATTCCTTGGTTGTACAGCGGGGAGGGGCAAGGGGACCAGCATGGCCACCTTCTAAGGTAGTTATAAGGACAAGCGAGGTAACATCTAGTGCTTAACACGTTGCTTGGCACGTAGTAAGCACTCAGAGAGTCTAGTACTATTATTAATAACAAATTCCTTTAAACATTTATGCTTACAACAAAAGTAGTTCTGAAGGAGTCCAAGCTTCGTATACAGAGCAATATTTTCGAAGAGTTGTTTTAGAATGTGGCATCCTGAAAAACTGGTTAAGAGGCAGTAAGTACCATGCTCTTCTTCATACTCTTTCAGATGCTCTTAAAAGCTGGTCTACAATTCAGGAATTATGGAACTCTCTTGCCTTTGGAATGCAAGCCATACTTCATCTGAATACCAGATGTACCTAACATTCAGGAATTAGTGCACCATTAACAAACCCCCAAACAATCGACAGGCAAAAAGTTTAGCCATGAAACTTTTATCTTACACTAAGAATCTAATAAAGAGAAAGGCTCAAAGCACAGCTCAGCTACCAAGGATTTCATTAATCAATGTCAAAGTATGCAAGAGGTAGTAGCTGTTTTAAAGTACTGTGCAGAAGGGCGTAACCCCGTGGGTTAAGGGTGAAGAATGCGCATGACAGCTGACAAGCTTTATATTGGTTTTCAAAAGAAGATGTCAAGGGAGGTAATCTGGGAAGACAGAGAGTAGGGCAGGAAGGAAATCAACAAGTGTTAATCCCTTTCCCTTTAAAGCAGCCCTCATAGTTAAGTTTTACCTGATTTCACATAGGAAATAAAATTCCCAGTGTGCTCCAGATATGAGCGAAAGAATATAATCATTAAGTGTTTTAGGACTGGCAACCCTCCCACCCAAGCCCACATGTAGTTAGAAGGAACTACACCTGACTATAGTATACATAACACACGGGAAAAGCCCCATACCACCTTTGGTTTGGCTTTGGACTGTACATTGCAGTTGACAGAATGTGCCAAACCTTCAACATCAGATTGCTACACTTTGTGAGGGCAGGACCAAGGAGAGGCTGAAAGGCCTTTCCATCTCTTCCTTTCCAGAGACGATTCACTCCCTAGAGCAACCCACTCGTGACTGCATCTTTCTAACTAACCTCTCCATCTGGCCTCATTTCTAAAGAAAAATGGAGGAATGTTGATGAAATGTTATGTTTGTTGCAAGCCTTTTTGAGAGGAGAAGGAAAACATCCCAGAAATGATCAACTGATCAGAAAGGATGATAAAAATTATATCATATTCTTTAGATCAAGTTACAAATGGCTTTCACTCTTTCCTAAGTTGTTTGAGTTTGTATCTGGACCATGATGCCTAGGATGAGTGTGAAAAGCACAAGTGCAGCCCTCACCAGTACGTCATTGCAGATGTCCTGCAGCTCAGCCTCTATCTTCTCACGGTACTCTTTGCCCATCTGTTGCTTCTTCTCATTCCTCTCTGTTTTCTGTTCGATGCTGGAGATAACACGCCAGGAAGAACGGCGGGCACCTACCACATTCTTGTAGGCAACAGAGAGTAGATTTCTCTCTTCATTGGAGAGTTCATGTCCCTGTTCTGTTACAGCCTTCATAGCTGCAGCCATATCATCGTAGCGCTCAGCTTGCTCAGCAAGTTTGGCTTTCTGTACCAGCTCACTTTTGTCCATGGTCATTCCTAGAACAGCAGCAAGAGCACAGAGAAAGCAATGTCAGGCTACCGGCATACTCAGAAGCACAGCCCCCAATGCCATCAAGAATGTGGATCATGTACTGAATATCTACAGTCAGGACTGGGCTGAGGCCTTTGTTACCAACAATCCTACATGGAATATTCCCAATAACCCTTCCACCTTCTTAGAAAACATAAATATTGGGGCTGGAGAGATGGCTCAGCGGTTAAGAGCACTGACTGCTCTTCCAGAGGTCCTGAGTTCAATTCCCAGCAACCACATGGTGGCTCACAACCATCTGTTATGAGATCTGGTGCCCTCTTCTGGTGTGCAGATATATATATGGAAGCAGAATGTTGTATGCATAATAAATAAATAAAAAAAATCTTAAAAAAAACACATAAATATTAAGAGAGAAAATAATGGACCCAGAATACCACCGCAAATAAGAGTTAAGGCTTTCAGCTTGCCTGTCTCTTCTTTCTATAACTTGCTTGTTCCATTATCCTACCATCCTCCCCGATACACAGAAACTGCTGAGAAACTACTTGCTTTTAGACATTTCCATGTTCATGCACATGGAAGAGTGCACACATGGACACGTATGAAGAAGAGAGGGCAATTGTTGGAGCTGGTTCTCTCTCTGCACCATATGGGTTTCAGGGATTGAACTCAAGTTTGGCAACAATCTCCCTTTCCTGCTAAGCCATCTTGACAGTACCCTCAACAACTTTTTTTTTTTTTTTAAGTTTAAACTACATACATGTTAACTTTTAAAACGCAACCTCAGTTTGGGGTTGGAGAGATGGCTCAGAGGTTAAGAGCATTGCATCAACATGTACATGGCAGTTCAAAACTGACTATATTTTCTTAAAAGCAACCTTATCTCAACACTCAGCAATACAGAAGCCCCTTCTCACTGTACATTTCCCCTTACCCCACAGCAGCTATGAGTCTAACTGCAAGCATTTCAGCCAGATGAAATGTCAGCAGAAATGTTAGTTCTCCAGGCCCAAAATGTGAAAACACTCGGTACAGACCCCTAGGCCCTCTTCTTTTATAGTAGTCACCTAGAAGTCCATGTATTTTAATATGTACAGTCCTCAAAAGGTGACCTTCTATTAGCCCAAGTTCCTGAGTGATTCTGCTACACTGGGCATGCAGTACAAAAAAGAAACTTTTGGGAGGAGAGATGGCTCATCAGTTAAGAGCACTGGTTGCTCTTTCAGATGACTTGGGTTTAATTCCCAGCACTCCCATGGTGGCTCACAACCACCTATAACTCTAATTCCAAGGGATACAATGCTCTCTTTGGCCTCTGTGTACAACATACACACACACACACACACACAGACACAGACACACACAGACACACGCACGCACGCACGCACGTTGCATAGACGTACATGCAGGCATACATACATACATACCTATACACATAAAAATAAACATAAAATCATAAAATGGTTTGAGACTATTTAAGATTCTTTGACATTCTCACAGAGTTCTTTGAGATTAAAAACCATCATGTTACCTTAGAAAAAATTTATGTCCTTATGGGCATTGGTGGCGCACACCTGTGATCCCAGCACTCGGGAGGCAGAGGCAGGCGGATCTCTGTGAGTTTGAGACCAGCCTGGTCTACAAGAGCTAGTTACAGGACAGACTCCAAAGCCACAGAGAAACCCTGTCTCGAACCCCCCCCCCCCAAAAAAAAACAAGAAACAAGAAAACACATTAACTAAAGGTCTTGATGCCTGCTGCTTATGTAACTCTAGACTTATATAAGATGGATTTTGGAGCAGCTAGGCCAATTTCAACAGGAAATGGGTTACACATATCTAGTCATTTGGAGGAAGACACAGACAAGGAAAAATGGAACCCTTCCTCTTTCTCCATCTACAGCCACACCCACCTGTCCGCCTGGCCCTCACCTTGGCTATTTCACATCTCTGTTATCAGGCCTGTCATCGGAAATCCCCAATAAAGACACTTCCTGATTAAACATTTTCACAGTCCCGTGCCATGGGCAGCAGAGACAGTGGAAAGAGTAGCAACTGACAGCAGACCTCTCTTCTCACGTGTCCTGCCAAAACACATGTCTTCATCCAAGTCCACTTTTCTGTCTTGACTCACTAGGCCACAGCTCTCCTTCCACAGGGCCCCTACATCGACCTTCCCAAGAAGCTGCAACAGTCACTAGCCTCTAGAAAATGTGACCGGTGCCACCTTTTGAAACATGTTTTGAGAATATTTTAAAATGTTAGTTTCACTTGTCTTTTGGTATCTATCTTTTTAAAGATGGCTGGGCTTGAACTCCAGCAATGCACAACACCCCCAGACTTTGTCTTTTTTGTTTTGTTTTTCAAGACAGGGTTTCTGTGTAGCTCTGGCTGTCCTGGAACTTGTTCTTTAGACCAGGCTGGCCTTGACCTCAGAGATCTGCCTGCCTCTGCCTCCCTAGGGCTAAGATTAAAAGGTGTGCGCCACCAACGCCCAGCTATTATTTTTAAAGTCTGTATTGAACCTACCAAAAATTTGTTATTACACTTGGCTGACATTATTTCTAACGTGAAAATGTTTCTGGAAAGAATTCTGTCTATACCTGCTGGCTAATGTGTGTCCTCAGTACTGAAATCATTCATGTGTGCCCCCAAGTTCCTTCCTGCACTGTGAGCTCCTTTGGAGAGACTCTCCCAGTACCCTGCATACAACTGGTATGAGTGAACAGCTACTAAATGAGGAGCTCCTGAAAAGAAACCCCCTACAAATTTGGTAGTATTCTCTCCTTCCTCAAATACAATAACCCAAAGTTCCTGTTCCTTAAAAGCACACTCCCTCACCCCATAGATTTCTAAACTAGTGCTTCAGCCACACCTCCTTAACTCAATAATCGTAAGGTCTCCTCTTTGGGCTGGGCTAATCCATCACTTGAGTCTAAACCCTAGCTAATTGTTTTCAAAGTTCTTCAGAACGTGGCTGGTGAGGTTTTCTGATCCACTGATCTTCAACAGGTCCCTTTTCTCAGGCACACATTCCCATATACCCGGTAAGCACCGTGCTCAAACATGCAGGTCTCTTCGTATAGACTGCTCTGCTGGATATTTTCCTTCCTGCCATGCAAACGCTATCCACCTGTCTAGCCCATGCTGGTCTATGACACAGGACTCTCAATACACACGCAACCTGCTATACGGTCTAGGGCTTCTTTATGCTGGTCTATGGTAGATGGTAAAAGCTATCCCACACACTATTCTAAGGAAGGATGCACATGTGATGCCTCAAAGTTTTTCAACACATATGACTAGGAGAACAAAGAACACACATAAAGGCAACAGCACCATATGTCAAAGCATATTCTGCCATCATACAGAAAAGGATCCTGTTAAACTCAAGTCTTAAAGTTTACAAAAGAAGCCAACAGACTCTCCCTCCCCAGAGTTGCTATGAGCACCAGGAACAGGGCACTAAAGGACAACAGATACTAAATCTTTCCTAGAAATACTGCACAAACAAGCCTGAAGATCATTAGTTCTCACTGAGTGTCTATGTATTATTTTAAGCCCAAAGTGTGAGCTTTTAAAAACTTTTAAAAAATACATAATTTCAAAAAATGTTAGGGGTGTTAGCTCAGTGGAGGAACACCTGTTTTGTATGTACAAGGTCCTGGGTTCAACCCCCCAGTATCAAAACAACAAACAAAAACCCAGAAGGAGGAAGTGAATTGGGATTGATGTTTGCACAGGAAGTAGTTATATGCTAACATGAGAGTCATTTTCTCAGCAAGTTAAAATGGACATACATATGTGTTAACTGACATTTTAGCAATTGTCAACCATACTTTTCTGGAATTCCAAGGCAGTGGCAGCCTATCAGAAGGGCATGCAATTCTTCTGAGATTCTAAATGAGGGTCACAGCCTTTACTTGCTTTTACCAGGACAGATAAACTCCGTAGAGGCCACAGTCTAGGCTGGCAGTGAGCCAGCAGGAAGGCAATGACATACACGAGAAGAGCAGTTCCCAGAGCACCCACATGGTAATAATGGGTGTCAATCTGTCTGTTCTAGGCCACTGGAAGCATCAAGTCACAGTACTGGCAGGCATCTGCTAATAAATGTAACAAATGCTTAGAGACATATTGAAAACAAGTCAAATACCCAACGGTGGAGAGCTGCTTAGTGAAGAGTAACAGTACAGACTGCAGGAGCCTCACCCCAACAGGAAGCTGCACAGCAAAGACACATTAAGATGTGCAGGGCTGTGCATGAAGGGGTGCATAGTGCCCCCCTAAAATGTTCCTAAAGAGCATATAAACATGATTAGGAAAGTCAACACCAAGTGGCTAAGGGTAGCCAGGTGTTGGTGCGCACACCTTTAATCCCAGCTCTTGGGAGGCAGAGGCGGGCAAATCTTTGTGAGTTTGAGGACAGCCTGGTCTACAGAGTGAGTTCCAGGACAGCCAGGACTGTTTTACAGAGAAACTCTGTCAAAAGCAAAACAACAAAAAATTTAAAATTGGATTCCATTGTTTACTACATGTCAAGAGTCACCTGACTTTACAAAAAACATGGGGCTCTTCCAGGAAAGCCCTACATAGAACCAACAGGAAACTATATAAAACTACATATAAATGAATGCCCCACATTATGATTCCTGTTTCTGCAGTGTTAAAAGTAGACATTAACAGCAGCCAAATAAGACGACACACACCAAATGCTTAGACAATGCTCAGAGTTAAGGTTCATGGACAAGTAATTCTGACTCCTAAGGTATTTCACAAAAACAAAATGCCTACAGTTCAATGTTGAAACAACCACAGAAATGGCCAGTATGTATGTTTAAGAATTCTTTTGATTATTCACTCAGAGGAGCTGAAAAGAACTACCAGCAGAGTGTCCCCACACTCAAGCTAAAGCTATAATAAGAACACACTGGGCAGTGGTGGCGCATGCCTTTAATCCTAGTACTTGTGAGGCAGAGACAGATGGATCTCTGTAAATTTGA